TTTCCTTTTTCGTGCTGTGTATTTTGAATCCAACGGTATATTTTTCTTTCCTCTCATACGCGCAATTTCTTTTTTATTCAAACACATCAGATCGAATTGCGATGGTGAAGACAAGTTACCTTTTCTATTAATACACGACAAGCTCCCCAGAATTCTAAAACATCACATATTTTAAATCCAGAATAAATCAACACACTCAAATCATCAAATATTAATAAAACATTTGAATCAGCTGATGCGTGATGAGTCGTTATAATTGTTTTTATGGTATTATAAAAATTTAATAAAGTTTCCTTGGTACAATTGGTTACTGATAAAGGAGTTAGCACTGCAGTCGGCAATGGTGATGCAGTGGGTGAATTTGGCGTTAAGGAAGTTAGTCCATCTATAAATGAAAAATGTCCTTTTTGAGAGGCAGAAGTTAGATTCACACCCTTATCGCGATCGAAATAAAAATAACGGTATCAATTAAATGTGACAATTTCAAAAGCAACGCATAACGCAGCAACATTCGTCGCCTTACCAATTTCTTTCCAATATTTAAATAATGGTTAAAAAGTTGTGATAAGCCAACCAAAACAACGTGTTTATCAGCTTTGAGCTGGTTTACAATAAAGTGGTGAATTAAAAAGTTTCCCTGCGCTGATAATGTATCAGTTATTAGAATAGAGCTTTTTAATGGAACGAGATTGTTTTTGAACAATAAGGCTATATCTAAAGTTTGATATCCCATTATGGTTTCTGAAATAAACTATGTAATTGGATAATCTAATTTTATAAACAATTTCCAGCCAATGGAAAACCGACATTTCTGTATTTCTACATCTAACTAAAATCCTAAACAAACATCTTAAAAAAAATGTCTCGACCGGAACACCAAGCACCACCAGAAATTGTAAATATATATTAATTTATCAATTGAATCACGACAATTGTATCAATAAAATTAAATTTCTGATTATTTTTATGAGCAATAGTATTACAACGACGATGAAGCAAAGAAATATACCTCAAAGTAATTAATTCATATTAGCGCTATTTCAATTAAATCTTTAATAACATATTTTTATTGCTTAGTACTCGAATACAAAGTGTTCAAGCAGAACTGGTACTTACGAAATAACTTTGATCACACCAAATGCCTTCAAACCCATTAAATTATTATATTAATAACAGACATATAGAGCTCTTGAATTATTAAATTTACCAGATGAACCAGCTTATTTGCTTGATATTGGATGCGGATCAGGTTTAAGTGGTGAAATTTTAGATGAAGAAGGTCATATGTGGATAGGAATGGATATTTCCCCGGCTATGTTACGTGAGTCAAATAATACGAAATTAACATGTTCCAATATACAGTCAGACCTCGATATAATCACTAGGTTGGGAAACAAATATTTGGTGATTATAAAAAAGTGTGACTACATAAAGATCGAATTTTATATGTTTTATAATGTCTAAGATTAAGAAATAGTGTGACTATAACAAGGTTGTGACTATATCAAGAGTGACTATAACGAGGTTTGACTGTAAATGCTGCAATTAAATTTAATATTTATATATATTTATTGTTCGCATTGGAGTAGAGGTTGCATTAGATCGTGAGGTTGAAGGTGATTTGTTCTTACAAGATGTTGGTCAGGGAATGGGATTTCGTCCTGGTACATTTGACGGTGCTATAAGGTAATTAATTACCATAGCATCATTTCAAATAATACTCTTCAGTAATCTAATAATCACGTATAGTATTTCAGTCCTACAATGGCTATGTAACGCAGATCATAGTTCACACAATCCTAAATCTCGTCTCACACGATTTTTCTCAACTCTTTATTCGTCACTACGCCGGGGTGCTAAAGCAGTATTTCAATTTTATCCAGAAAATGATGATCAATGTGAATTATTAATGAATACAGCAATGAGATGTGGCTTTGAAGGTGGTCTGGTAATTGATTATCCCAACAGTAAGAAAGCGAAAAAGTATTTTCTTTGTTTATTTGCCGGCCAAATTCCTACAGAAGATGGTAAACCAAAAATGCCAAAGGCTTTGGGAGAAGATGGAGAGGATGAACCAAATGTTGTAGCTTATTCTAGTCAGAGGTTACTTTCTTTTTAAATTAATGGATGCAAAGAGTTAAATTTTATTACTTTCAACTAACAATTTTAACAAATAATTTTTTTATTAAAGAACTCAAGAGCGTCAAAGAACGAAAGGAAAACAACGCAAATCGATTAAAGAAAAGGATTGGGTTTTGCATAAAAAAGAAATTGCGCGTATGAGAGGAAAGAAAAATATACCGTTGGATTCAAAATACACAGCACGAAAAAGGAAA